AGCCTGGGGCTGATCTTATATTTGCAACAGTCACAAGAAGCATATGGCACATTCTGCAGTTGTTTGCCATCTCCCAAGTATGCATAATGTAGACCAGCCTCCCACAATCTGGCGATCTTCAAACAGCTGTTAAGTGTTGGAGTAGGATCAAAGAATTGTGGGACCTTGCAAGGCAATTCCTTACTGCTGAATGCAGCAAATCCTTCTCTTTTTATGCCAATTAATTTTTATTGCTTTTCAAACAATTTAACAAATTAATTCAAATTTAGTACAAACTTTAAAAGTTGACTTCCCATCTTACTTTCAGGGTGTTTCTCTTCCCTCCTTTACTTGCTCAATGTAACATACATTTCCTAATTCCATTTCAATACTTAAAATGTTTTAGCATTTTATCATTATTTTCCTCCTTCTTCATTTCCCAGGGGCTGTACATATTTCAATTCCTGCTTAGGCTTTTATTTAACTAGAACATATTCCCAAATGTCAAGTCGAGTTACTCTTCACTTTGTCAGCCCACAAAAATCATTAGTTATAAATCAATATTCCACAAATACTACTTATCGCTCCTGCCGTTTTACGTACACCAAAGTCTGACTGGTGGCGGTAAATAAGAAATCCTCTTCAGCCACAGCATTCCATTCCCAGAACGTCACACTCCTTTTATATATATATATATATAATTTTTATTAAATTTCCAATTAACAAACCAATCATATCACATTAATTCCAAATTATACCAATACATAATAAACTCCAAATATTTAGCCGAATTTTAAATTTTTGTTGGGGGTACCCATGCTTCGAGTTCGGAAAGGGTCCAGTCATCTCATATTTCTGCTGCTTTGATGTTCACAAGTCCCATCTTTCCATCTCTTTGTTGTTATCCTTTACAAATCCCGTCTTCCAATCTTCCTGTTGTTATCATTTTTCTTCTTAATAACCTCTGAGTTATCTCCACAAGTGAGTTGAAGCAAACATTATTATAGTCCTGTGTGGATTTTCACGCTGATCCAAAAGTCCTATTCAAACGGCAGGCTCCATTTCGACAGTTCCCATAAAATACAGTCTAAGCATCTGCTCATTAACTTTCCCAGACCAGTTGCTCCATAAATCAGCCTTTCCAGGGGAGTTGTTGCCAAATCAGCCGTGGAATTCAAATATAATAACAAAACCATAGCACATCTCCCCCTTTGACTATAAATCTTGCAACAAAGTCTGTCTCATGATGGCGGTTCCCAATTAGAACTGTGTCACACCAAAAGCCTTTCGTTTCCTTTCCAGATCTTTCTCAAAACAAAGCCTTTGGTTAATCATTTTGTTTCCACACAGTTTATTTTCCGATCTCACTTGCTATCAATCATGTGGCGGTTCTTCTTGGGGGGTTGTTGTTAGGTAAATCATATTAAAAAAGAGAAAAGTTTTTTTTTTCCCTTTCCGATCCATTTCAACATACCGACATAGCTGTGATTCTTTGATGTAGTCTTCTATTCAGTCCAACCCGTCACTCAGCTTCTCAATGGTCGATTTAATTAGCAATCAGATGCTTTTGAATTATGGTGCTGGAGGAGACTCTTGAGAGTCCCATGGACTGCAAGAAGATCAAACCTATCCATTCTTAAGGAAATCAGCCCTGAGTGCTCACTGGAAGGACAGATCGTGAAGCTGAGGCTCCAATACTTTGGCCACCTCATGAGAAGAGAAGACTCCCTGGAAAAGACTCTGATGTTGGTAAAGATGGAGGGCACAGGGAGAAGGGGACAACAGAGGACAAGATGGTTGGATAGTGTTCTCGAAGCTACCAGCATGAGTTTGACCAAACTGAGGGAGGCAGTGGAAGACAGGAGTGCCTGGCGTGCTCTGGTCCATGGGGTCACGAAGAGTCGGACACGACTAAACGACTAAACAACAACAACAGCAACAACACATCCTTTCCTTCACTCGAAACATGTGCATTTACTCTTTTCCAATTATTTATCTTGAGCAATGCAACTAGGATCGCCATCAGAAGTAGTGTCCAGGAGATCCAAAAACTCACTCGAGGGCTTTCCGTCCAGTGCCCCCACCCCCTCCTTTTTTCAAACTCGGGGGTGATTTATTGGCAACTGCGGATGAGGCAGCATTTTCCCATCCCCTGGGAAAATTCGGGAGGCTAATTTACTCCCATCATTAGCCTCTTAATTACCTCGTGTGAGCCAGAGAGATGGTATTGTCGGCCATCTTTCAAAGCGCCCCTTGCGACCCCCCCAGAACGTCACACTTCTAAATGTAGTTCACCATGCTAATTAAGTGTACAACAATGCATATGTGAAGATCAAGTCTGCAAAAAAGATGCATATATTTGGGGAAATGACTTCCCCACAAAGCATTACATATGGGGAAATGGCTTTGCAAAAATGAATGTGTTAGGTACAACCACATACAAAAATTACGGTACATCAGGAGAATTTTGCACTAAAATGCTGGTGAATACTCCTGAGACATTTAAAAAAATATATATTTGCAAACTGATGTGGAAATGTAGAGAACTGAATTTCAGATTGGGAAAATGAGAAACTGAGAGACATTGAAGTGGACAGATTTTCCTACACCTAGTAGCACCACGTCCTACATTCTAAATTTGAGTAACACATAGGCTGCCTTTGCGAATATACGCAATAGAACGTTGCAGCAGAGGTGACTATTGCAGCATATTCTTATTAGCTGTACTTCTGAAGCTGATGTCAAGAGGAACAGCCATCCGAATTCTTCAGGGCGTGGGTACTGCCAACTCCTTGCATTTTAAGGATTCATGTGCACTCACTGCTTCTTTATAGCATTAGCTACCTGAAGAGTTTCTTTTGCCAGAATGCACAATAAGCAGCTGCAGGGCAGAAAGCCTCTACTATGGAGAGTGGTGCTTGTCATTCTCCTAGTCCTCAAGACTTTAGTCATATGCATTTATTCACTCTTGGAAGCATTGGTGAAACTCTTTATTCCGAAAAGGAGAAAATCTGTTCGTGGAGAGATTGTTCTGATCACCGGTGCCGCCCATGGGCTTGGAAGAGCAACAGCCCATGAGTTTGCCAAACGCCAAAGCAAGCTGGTTCTTTGGGATATCAACAAGGTAGGTGTGTGTTATTATTCTACCCTCAGTCCTGAGTATCAACAGGCAGTGGTAAATGTTGCAGTGCAGCGTCCAAAAATGCTTTCAAATTATTACAGGGCTTGCCAATTTGCAAACCAGACCTAAGGCCATGTCTTCACTATTAATTTAAAGCAGTACCATACTTTAAACAGCCATGGCTTCCACCAAAGCATCATGTGAATTGCCATTTGTTAAGAATGCTAAAAGTTCTGAGGAGACCCCTATTCCCCTCAGAGAGACACAAATCCCACAGTTCCTTGGGAAGGGGGGGGAGGCTGCTGACGGTGCGTGCACTGCCAAGGCTTGACAAGGCGTCCAGAGTTATCCCAGGTTGTTCCAGCGCCCAAGGTTATCCCAGGTTGTTCCAGCAAGACTCCTGCTGCAGTGCCAGCTTTGGCTTTTGACCAAGGAAGGGATACAATTGTTTGCATGGACATTTCCGTGTGTGTGTGTGTTGAAAATCCCTCAGAGTGTTTCAGATGACAGCCTGGTGCCCAACACCAGATGCAGCGGTGGATTTTGGGTGGTGCGGGCGGTTCTCCTGCAAAGGAGTGCCGAGCCGAAGGGGTGCAAAATTGAGACGGCCCATAACTGAGAAGATTCATTTTGGGGTGCCAAATCTTGGCATCACTTAGGGTGCCATATTACTAAAGATTACCAAAGTCTGCCCCTTCCAGATGGAGATGAATCATTATTATGTGCTTAAAAACAATTGGAACTGAGGATTGGGGTGGGCTGGAGGACTGCTACACCTTGTTGCCTGCCCTAGAGAGAAAGAGAGAGATGTGGCCACATGTTCCCTTCTGTTCTCCTTTACCTCTTGCCTCCCGCTTCAGGTCTGCCTATCCCTCGTTTATTGGAAATAAACCTATGCTGCCAATTCTCATAGTAAGGTAAAGGTAAAGGGACCCCTGACTATTGGGCCCAGTCATGGCCGACTCTGGAGTTGCGGCGCTCATCTTGCTCTATAGGCCGAGGGAGCCGGCGTACAGCTTCCGGGTCATGTGGCCAGCATGACTAAGCAGCTTCTGGCAAACCAGAGCAGCTCACGGAAACGCCGTTTACCTTCCCGCCGGAGCGGTACCTATTTATCTACTTGCACTTTGACACGCTTTCGAACTGCTAGGTTGACAGGAGCAGGGACCGAGCAACGGGAGCTCACCCCGTTGTGGGGATTCGAACCACTGACCTTCTGATCGGCAAGTCCTAGGCTCTGTGGTTTAATCCACTGCGCCATCCGCGTCCCTCGTAGTATTCTCGTAGTAGACCAGTATAAAGTAAGCAGCACATAAGCGGCACACAAAACACTACCAAACCATTCTACGTTCTAAATATTGATTTTTGTATTTATCCTCTCAGAAATTATATAATGAATGTTTAAAGGTTAATCGGGTTTTGGTTTATATCACCAGTGAATGTATGTAAATACCCAAAATCCTGAGGAAGAATTTCATGAGAGAGAATTTACTGAAGAAGCCCGAGACTCTTCATGGGCGAAACAGGTGACAAACGCCGGCACCCTCTCTAACTCTTATGCGTAATATCACCGATACTTCGTTTGATCAAACTTAACTTTGTTGATATCTGCAGGAGCCTGGCTAAAGGAACTTTAAAGACTGAACCTTCCTTCTGGACACAATTTGAATGAGTTTTCTGATTGTGGCTTCTGTAGTAGATCTTGTACATTGTTCTCCCAATTTTTGGATTATTTATATAAGATTTATAACGTAGAATGGTTTGGTAGTGTTGTCTATCCCTTGTTTATTAGCTGCATCCCTGGCAGTGCAATTAACACAGGGAAGAAGGAAGCCCCTCTTTGCATAACGGAAATAAATGCACATCCCACTGCTCATTCCTGCCTCAGTTTTGCTTCCCGCCCCTCTGTTGTATATTAAACTATGGTTCATTAAAATTTGGCACACGCAGCACGTCTTCCCTGTACAGGTCTTTTGTTTATGCCGTGAATATGCTAGCATCATACCTGTGGGTTATAGATGTTTATAGATGTTTTCTCCCGCTAGGAAGGTGTTGAGGAAACAGCTGAGGAATGCAGAAAGCTGGGTGCCATTGCACACGCTTTTGTCGTGAACTGCAGGAACAGGATGGAAATCTACAGTGTTGCAGATAAAGTAAGATTCCTATGAGATGTTTCCAAACTTTTTCCAAGCCTGTTGGGTCATCGTGGGATGACCTTGCATACTCCTGAACACTTGGCACAGGAGGAGATGTGTGCCTGTTTTGCATTAAGTGAGCACAGAACGTCCAGAGTAGTGTGTGGCACTCAGAGTCCTGGACTAGGAATATAGAGAGCTGGGTTCAAATTCCCCATTCAGCCAACCTGATCTACCTCACAGAGTTGTAAGAAGAAAATGACGACGAGGAACCATGCTTGCCATTCCTGGCAACTCAGAGGATCAGCAGGTTAGAAACATCATAAATAAATAGGCCTGTGCTGGAAAAGCTGGAGTTCTTTCACAGGGCAGCCTCTTTCCCCCGCCCTCATCGAATGTACCTTTTGAAATATTTTATTTAGAATGATAAAATAAATTTAACTTTTCACAAGTCGCATAAAACTTGATTGTAATAAAACCTTTATTCTTTACCAAAATAATAATAATAAAACAAAGTTTTTTAAAGTTTTTAAAAAGCTATTTAAAACATTTTTAAAAAACATCAACAATACAGTCTGCTAAAAACCAGATAAAAACATGTCAACGTTCTACAATGTCTCGACAGGCTTCTCTAAACAAAAGAGTTCCTAGCAGGTTCTGAAAATAGTGCAATGATGGCACCTGCCTAGTGTCAATAGGCTGGAAGTCCCAAAGTGTGGGTGCTGCCACACGAAATGATAGATTTCTTACGAATGCAGAGTGTGGCACCTGTAACAGTACCAGTTCTGCAGATCGAAGACGTTAAGCGGGCATATATGAGGTAAGGTTATCTCACAGGGAAGCTGGTCCCAAGCTGTTAAGGGCTTTATATACACTAACACCTTGAACTTGCTCTGGTAGCAAATCAGCAACAAGTGCAGGTCTCTGAGCAGAGGAATTATATGCTGATAGGGTCTCGCCCCTGTCAGCAATTGCACTGCAGCATTCTGCACAAACTGCAGCTTCCAGATCAAGCACGAGGGAAGCCCCGCATAGAGTGCATTGCAGTAATCCAGTCTTGGTCTTGAAGTAACCAGTGCATGGACTACTGTGCCCAGGCTTTATATAATAATAATAATAATAATAATAATTTATTTATACCCTGCCCATCTGGCTGGGTTTCTACAGCCACCCTGGGCGGCTTCCAACAAAATATTAAAATACAATGGTCTGTTAAACATTAAAAGCTTCCCCAAACAGGGCTGCCTTCAGATGTCTTCTAAAAGTCTGGTAGTTGTTTTTCTCTTTGACATCTGGTGGGAGGGCGTTCCACAGGGCGGGTGCCACTACCGAGAAGGTCCTCTGCCTGGTTCCCTGTAACTTGGCTTCTCGCAGTGAGGGAACTGCCAGAAGACCCTCAGAGCTGGACCTCAGTGTCCAGGCAGAACGATGGGGGTGCAGACACTCCTTCAGATATACTGGACCGAGGCCGTTTAGGGCTTTAAAGGTCAGCACCAACAGTTTGGGAACGGCCCTACCTGTTGTACAAGTCTCAGGTCACAAAGAGCACTTCTAGCCACTGGGGCTACCTGGTACCAAAGCCAGACAGAGAAGTACCCCTTGAGTGCAAACCTGCTTTTTCGGGGAGAGTGCAGCAATCATTGTTGTCATACCAATTTCTCAGAAATGGGAATTACTATACACCCACAGTGCTTCCAGCTTGCCAAGATTCAAGTTCAACTTGTTTCTCCTTATTGCATCCAAACACCAAGCCAAGCATTGCATGGCCACTGGGTGTCATCAGCACACCGATCACACCTCGATCCAAACTCCTTCTCACTTCCCACAGCTTCCTGTGAATATTAAATAGTATTGAAGATCAGCCCCTTCATCTAGAATCAAGTTGTGGATGAGGATGGTCTTATCATGTGCCAATCTAGCACTGAACTATGTGTGAAGTTTCATAATTTGTGCTTTTATTTCCTTATTTTTTTTAAATTAATCTTTATGAATTTAAATTACACACATATACAAAGAATTTACAGTCTCAAACTACAAAAAGAAAATTAAAGAAAAAACAATTAAGAAAAGAGAAAAGAAGAAAATACAGAAAAAAGAAAGAAGAAAAAGCAGATTTACGTGCATAAAAAAATCTTAATCTTCCTAATTAATACTTAAATAAACGCTTAAATAAAAAAGACTTCTGAGAAAACGAGTCTTCCAATCATTCTCATTGTACTGTATATACTATCGTTTTTTTCGCACAGTTTTATATTCTTGAATATTGTTCCCATCTACTCCACAAACAGTATTTGATGTGTTTACAAGTATCACTCAAGTTCTGCTAATATGGTGTGGTTGGTACAATATGATCTTATATAATCCTTAAATATTCTCCATTCTCCAGATATTTTCTGCTTCAATACTCCTCTAACTCTTCCCGTCAGTTTTGCTAGTTGTAAATATTCTAACATGAGTATCTGTCAATCTGTGATTGTCGTTATTGTTTTGTTTTTCCACTTCCTCGCCACAAGAATTCTTGCCGCTGTGGTGGCATGCATAAACAGTGGTCTTATGTATATTTTAATTTCTAATGGTAAAATGCCTAAAAGAAAGATCTCTGGTTGTTGTTTTTTAAGTGAGTCTGAATAATTTCTTAAATTCATTATAGATATTACCCCAGAATTCCCTAATGATTGCACAAGTCTACCTTATATGGTAGTATGACCCCACATCTATTTTACATCTCCAACAAGTCAGTGACCCTCCTTTATACATTTTCGCTAGTTTCAAGGGGGTATGATGCCATCTATATAACATCTTCATGATGTTCTCCCTAAGGTTATAGCATGCTGTGAATTTAATATCTGCCTTCCACAATCTCTCCCATTGGTTCATATATATGTTGTATCCAAAATCCTGTGCCCATTTCACCATAACTGCCTTGACTTGTTCTTTTTTGTTTCCCATTCCAAAAGGTAATCATAGATTCATGAAATATTTTTTCCTTTAATAAAAATTAATTGTCTTTCAAATTTAGATGTTTCCTTTGCAATTCCTTGTTTAAAATCCATGGCCAATCTTTGGAGTAACTGAAAATATTGTAACCAATCTGTTAGGTGACTTTTAATTTCCTCGTATTTTTTCAGTGTAGGCTTGTCTTTATCTATTTCTAGGACGTAGGCCAATCTGTTTTCATATTATTATTTTTTTACTGCCATGGCTTCTGTTGGTGATGTCTACAAGGGTATTTTTGGCTCAAGTATTCCTTTATATTTATTCCAGATTTTATATAACGATTTTCTTATCACATGGCTCAAAAATCCCCTGTGGACCTTCACTTTTTCGTATGTTAAATAAGTGTGCCATCCGTACCGATTGTCATGGCCTTCCAAGTCTAATATGTCCATATCTTTTAGTGTAATCCAGTCTTTTATCCTAACCAATCTGCCGCTGCATGGTATAATTCCAAATCTGGCAATGCAAAACCTCCTCTCTCCTTTTTATCTACTAATAACTGGTGTTTAATTCTCGGTTTCTTTCCACTCCATATAAATCTAGATATTTCCCTTTTCCACTCCTTAAAACAATTCATTCCTCCTAAAATGGGCATTGTTTGGAATAAGAAAATCATTTTGGGGAGGATATTCATTTTCACAACCGAGACTCTTCCCCAGAGTGAGAGACGGAGTTTGGTCCAGGTTTCCATATTTTTTTAATTTCTTTCCATACTTTACTATAATTATCCTCATATAAATTTAAACTTTTATTTGAAATCCAGATCCCTAGGTATTTAACCTTATTTTTAATTTCCAGGCCTGTTTTTTCTTGAAGTTCTTTTTTTTTCTTCCATTGTGAGGTTTTTTGTCAGTAATTTAGTTTTTGGGTAGTTTATTTTCAGCCCCATTATTTCCCCATATTTTCTAATTAAATCTACAGCAGCTGGTAAACTTTGCTTCGGGTCTTGGGTTATTACTATCAAATCATCAGCAAATGCTCTAACTTTATAGACTTTCTCCCCAATCTTTATCCCCCTTATGTTTTCATCCCTTCTGATGTTGTGAAGGAGTGGTTCTATCGCTAATATAAATAACAAGGGTGACAGAGGGCATCCCTGTCTGGTCCCTTTTCTGATGGAGACGTTCTCTGTGAGTGTCGGAGCCAGCCGTTACAAATGGCGAAGTTTAGCATAAAATAAAGACACAGAGAGCCAGCAATATTTTCATGATGGTAGGAGCAGCTCCCTTCAAACTTCCCTCTCCTCCTGCAAACTTCTTTATTATCCTTTGTCCTCTCTCCAGCCGCATGGCTGTTTGCCAATGTCTCACGTTACCTCATCCGGTCAAGGCTTTTATTGCCCCCAACACCATATAAGGTCATCACTGCCCAGAGGAAATACAACTCCATTTAACATTCCAATACATTGTAAAGCTCAGAGTGCTGGTCAGCCGAGGTCAGGGGGCACCCTGCAATATTACAAGCCTTTACCGTGGCTTTATGACTCCCACATGTGAGGTTACCATTTAGTAGAAGTCTGGCCATCTGTTGTTCATATATTGCCTCTATTACCTTCTTAAATTGTATTCCAAAATTCATTATTTCCAGGTGTTTTTTCATGTAAAACCAAGAGACATTATCAAACGCCTTTTCAGCATCAAGTAGTAGTAAAGCTGCCTTTTTATCACTATTTGCTTCTGGATATTCTAATATGTCTATGATGTTTCTTGTATTCCTGAGATTTGTCTGCCAGGGAGGATTCCAGCTTGATTTGGATGAATAACATATTTAATGGCCTCTCTGAGCCTATTTGCCAATATGTTAGGAAAGATTTTGTAATCATAATTTAAAAGTGATATTGGCCTATACTTAGTCATTAACTATGGGTCCCCTCCCTGTTTGGGTACAAGGGTTATGTATGCTTCTTTCCACGAATCGAGTACTTTCCCTTGATTGCAGATGTTATTCATTATTTCAGTAAGTGGTGTAATTAATATTGCTTCCATTTTTTTATAATATTCTGCTGGGAGGCCGTCTGGGCCAGGTGTTTTGCCTACTTTAACTTTCTGGGTAGCT